TACCTTGATAAGCATATGAATGATAAGGGCTGGCTTCAAAACCTTTTGTTTTTCTTTTTCAATTATTTTAATTTAGTTTAAAGGATGGACCAATAGGTCTCATGTTGTCCCAAAACATTGTTATGTTAATATATTATTCCACATGGACTAGTAATAAAAATCTTTTTTTAGGTCTTCTATCTGGTACTTCTCTTCCTCATTATATATGTGTATTTTTTATTTTAAATTTTTTTATCCATTGCATTTGTAATTGACAATACTTTAATTGATTTCCTTTGATTCTTTCTTGTGTTTGAATTCACTTTTGAACTTGACATATTACTTTCTTCATATACCCCAGTTACAAATTATTTAGTACATGTTCATTAAGCTTGTCACAGTTACCAATACAACCATTTTATAAAGTATATGTAAACTCCTTCAAAATTTAATACTCAGAGACAAAAAGTTTCCATAAAAAAAGGGGTAGGTTGGGGGTGGGAGGCCCCCTCTACACTTTCAGTTTATACTAAAATACTTTATTTATGCATTGTACCTTATAAACTGTACACAATATCCAAGAAATAATAAGTTTTATAATATTCATAGATATACAAGTTCAGGAATGGTTGTGACATTTTTGAAAAAAGGAACACAAATGCTGTTAAAATATCGGGTAAAATGAATGAGACATTGATCAAGATGAGATTTGTTTAAATAAAATTTCTGCCTATTAATGAAATAACCAACAAACACAAAAGTAACAATTACGTTAACAACAAAAATTTCAAAAAATCAATAAATAAGTGGAAAAACACAAAACATACAATTCAGTCTTACTGTGCTATCATTTCTAATATGCCATAATAAATACTAACTTTAAAAGTTGTAATTTAAGGGGAAAAATAAGTATGCCAAAAAAAAATTTCTAAATAAATAACCATACACACATAATAAATAAAAACACTTGCCTCATAATAATGATTAAAATTACATGAAGCCCATATAAGACATGAAACAATGATACCATAAAAGTATACTATCACAAAATTACACAATAAAATTAGCTTAGGCTTTTTCAGAATTCTTTTGAGGAGATGGGTGCAAAGCAAAAATTGTTCATGGCATTAAGTGAAATGTCTTGAGAAGCTCTCTCAAAGTTTCTTGTATTATATTGGAAACACTGACTATAACATAACAAGGGGTCTGTTTGTTCCATTAAACCTATCCTGTTCACTGAAGTTTAAGAAAAAACAACTCAAGCCAGCCTTTATCATTTGAATATTTATGAAGCATTTTCTTAATAAATTTACTGCATCCACAACATTTGAAGGAAACCCATTCCAAATTGTCAACTACCTTGTTAAAAACATAACTGTCTTAGTTGAAGATGTCTTATATCATAAAATATTTATGTTTGTGTCCCCTTGTCCTACTGTTCTCACCATTAAGTACAGAAAAAGATAATGCATTGACATTATCAATTCCTTTAACAATCTGAAACAACTCAATCATAACCCTTCTTTTTTTCAAGAGAAAACAATTTCAGAGATTTTTTTATCTGTTCTTAAAAGACAACCTTTCTATCCCAATAGAATATATTCTAATAATCTTCCTTTAAACCTTTTTCATAATCGAATGTCCTTCTTAAGGTAAGTAGCATAACACAGAAAACAATACTCCAAATGAGGCTTAACCAGTGATTTATAAAATGAAATTTTAGCTACTTTAAACTTTGGCCTAATAGCAAATAAACAACTAATATAGATTGAAAAGTGTGGAATTTGCTGATTCAAAATAGTAAATTTTTGGCTCATTTCATACTAATATACTGAGTACAAAATAATGAATAATTTTATACCCTTTATGATTTTAGTTTCTTGTACCTCTAACAACTGAAGTGGCATGTGTTGTTAATTCTATTGCCCCTTTGTATACTGAAGGCACACTTAAGTATGTATATGCTTCATCACTTAAATGTACTTGTATACATACTATTCACCACCTCATGATTGATTACCTCGATACAGTTTTATTCATAAAAAAAATCATTAACTTGATCCCAAGAACAAGTATACATTACTAATGTAAATCAGTACCCACTAGTTACCTCACTAGTCACTGTTAATTATTATAATAATAATAACTCAGTTGTTGGTTTTTTTTGTTCCAAAAATGCATGTGCATTTTGCTATCTAAATGTGCATGTACACACACTTCATTTCAACGGATGTAAACAACAGGCAGATGTAAATATACTTTAGTAGATATTTTGTACAACTACATATTCAAAGCTTATCAAAGTTTTTAAAAATGTCTAACGTTAGGTCATAGAATAACATTATAAATTTACTGATAGTAATAAGTAAAGTTTAACCCTAACTAAAGCAAAAAAAATACACAAGTTACAGTGTTATTTATTTATAGAATATAGGCTGTACTAAATAAAGGTTTAACTAATGTTAAGCCTAAGACAAGTGGACTTGTAGAATTCAGCATATGCAATTAGAATTTTTTGTATTATTCTAGAAATCCTGTATTTAAAGAAGTAACACTGCAATAAAGATACTAATTTGATCCACAAATGTTTTGCAGGCCTGTACTACTATAATTTTTTCTAATTCTTAATCAGTGTCATGAAGTACATCACATTTAAGCAACACAGGACATTCTAAGGGTATTTACAAACGTTATCAAACAACTTTTAACTTATTATATTAAGTTGATAAACTTTGCAGTTGCACTTGTCGGAACCAGTTTTAGTTTTACTCGCGTATACCACATGTAGATAGTAAGGGTGAAATTTAGTGCTGTGATATCAGGATTCAATGAGGGGTTCTCTGCAGCGATATAACACGCAACGAAACCCGACTTAATCTCTCGTAGTCGTATACACCGAGTTTAAAATTAAAGTAACATTTCCTAATCAAATTCAAAGTTCCATGAACTGATGCACTTTGGACAGGCTAGCCCTAGCCTTTAATTTTAAACCGAATACAAGTTGAAACTTGAACCGGTGTTTGACTCATTCTAATCTTACCTTTAGGCTGTAATATAAGCCTATTCAAGAAACTGATAAAGTTTCTGGTGATAGAATAAACTTTATCGAAACTGGCTAAACTAGTTTTTAAAACGTCAACACACCTAGTATCAACTTCAAGAACAGACCCAATTAATTCTCGTGACTTCACACCCCAAACAACTACAAGCAAATTAGCGCCCTCTTTACAAATATACATTATTAAAAACTTCTAATTAAAAGTAAGAATTAAAATAATTTAAATCATAGCCTATCAAATTAATGAATTGTTTGTTGTCAAGTGCAAAGCTACACAATGAGTTATCTGTGCTCTGCCCACCGTTGGTGTCGAAACCAGATTTGTAGAGTTATAAGCCATCAGACTTACCGTTGAGCCACCATGGGACAAAATTAACAAGGGAAATATTATATTATTAACCGAATAGCAATACTTAATGCCATAAATCAATACACCATAAAACTAAAATGTATAATGATTAAAATGGATTGAATAATCACTTTGGTACTCAAGCTGTAAAAGAAAACAAAAATAAATAAATAATATAGTCACATCTCGTAAATTTTTTTTATAAAATAATTGTTGCGTGCAATAAATACACTGAAAATCATGATTACAAGCTCATACATCTAGAATTTTTTTTATATTAAAACCGAAATAGATATCCGCGCCTCACGATTCTGCATACTTGCTGTGTTACGTTTGCAACATTTTATTTAACTTTACTCCATTAAATATGCTAGGATCAATCTTGAAATCCATGTTTCATGACTGTTATAGAATATTATACTTATAGCCACCAGAATGGCTTTGATGACTGCATAGAGGATTATATATGTTATATCAAAAAGTTTTGAATATGTAAATTAGCAAGCCACGTGACAACTACGGCCAATGTAAAGTAGCAGTGGAACAGCATGTAATATTTAGTATTCGTAGGTTGTGTGATATCACCGAAACTGAGCGAGTTTGGGAATAGTATTGTTGCGTCAGCGAGGTCACGTGACTAGTGTCATGCCACGTTTCTAGAACTATCTTGTTCCTTCGTGAATGCCCTAGCATTTACTAGATATAGGGTAGGCTGGTATATATATAAGAGGGTGACGGCGTGACGCGATAATGTGTG